TCATCCCACTGGCCTGTGTGACTCCTAGACTTGGCCCCTGTAGCTAAGGCTCTACTCAGAGTGGAGGTATTGTGGAGGGGAACCCAGGACTGCCTGTGTACAGTATAGGATGTGCCTCATATCTTTGATCCGCTTGTTTGTAAGCTGTGTCTCTTGTAATTTCATTGTTGATTCCTGCTGTTGTATCTGCTGACCTTCTAGTTCTCAGTGATGAAGGATAAATAAAAATTTAAAACCTGGCTAAAAATAACTGCATAGGAGCTACCAACTACCAGGTAGTGGGGGCATATAGTTCTAACATGGTATGTTTTACAAAAGTAACTTTATAAAAGGCTATTACATTTTAATTACGTAAGAACTACCACTTGAGTCTTATTATTAATTTGGAAAAATATTGTGTTATGCAGCATTGCTTGAAATCAGATCCTTGTTTGTAGCCAGTATAATCTGCTCTGTATTGAGTACCCAATGTGTCCCCAAAACTGCTGAAGCTAGGACTTCCAACCAGTTGGTTGTAATATTTCCAAGGGGCGATCATAATATCATGTACGATTTAGAATCCTTTAGTGAAGTAAATTCATTTTGCTTGTACAATAACATTGCTTAATATCAGCTTCTTTATGGTTCCCATATTTGAACCTAGTGTATCTGCCCCAGGCTGCCTATTGCAATAAAATGAGGCTTCAAAATACATGCACGCATTCAATGATTCTCTCAACAATCCAAATTTTTTGGTAGTTGGTTAAAATTTATAGCCAGCTTAGCAAACCATGTCTCCATAACATAGTCACAGCCTCATAAGTTCCAGGAAAAGGGTTCTAACACTATTGGGGCTCACAGAAAATCTGACAACTTCATAAGATTACAGCAAGAAGATCTAATTCAATCAGCACACTTCTACTAGATAAAATATTGATCATAAGTTGGGCTCAGTCTCTCAAGTCTCTGACTAGTTCTTTCTGTTCACTCACCATTTTATACCTGCACACTCATGGAATTCTCCCTTGTACATACCTGATTTACTGCTAGCAGAGGTGGAGGAAGGTCTAGCAGAGTCTCCAGAGCTGGCA